CTTATGAAGTACAAGATGTTTGATATGTTGAAAACATCATCGAATTAGACAAAACATTTCAATTCAATTGTTTTATTATCAACAAATTAAGTATTACTATATTCGTTTAGTTTTAAACAAGTGCAGATAAAATAGTTTCACATTATATTTAGACAATAAGAATAGACAAAGAACAAGAAAAAAAAAGGGAAGAAAATAAATATTTATTGCAAAGATTAAGGCCGATTCGTTTTTGTGCATTTCACTGTTTGTTCAACTTGACACACCGAGAAGCACAATAAAAATAGTTCAGACTATATGTATATACACGAATATTTTAAACGCCAGTAAGTCCTTTGAGTAATGCCGGTTCCAAATGAGCGAAATCAAAATCTTTAACAGACTCTAAAATATTGATAATAAATTGATTAAGTTTCTCTTGTCGGAAACAATTATTTAATGGATCATAGAATTGTTGTAGACATGCATCACTGCATTGACTTAATAATTGAAACTAATCTGATAGTAAATGAAGTCTAAAATATTATATTAAATAATGATAAAAATAAAACAAACAATAGTTCAAGACATACTTGCAAGCTAAACAGCACCAACTTTGAAAGCAACCATCTTTACCAAATGTAGAAAGACCTTTTTCAATTGATCGAACTCCATTTATATAACAAATAATAGTTTTTTCTAATTTAGTACGTTAATTGCCATTGGGATCGACGTCCATCATATTCATCACAAACTTTAACTGAATAGAAAAATATTAAAAAAAGAAAAAAGTAAAGAACTAAATGTTGTACTTAAGAAGTCCCAAACATATCGTTTTCGTCCACCGCCAAAAAATGGAACATTACCAGTTGATTTTTTATTAAACCATAGGAAAGAGTTTTTTCTAATGCATTAACAAGACCATCTTCACCACATAAAATTGGTGTTATTAATCCTCTCTAAATAATTTTTAGTAGAAATTTTTTGAAAATAAAAAGCTTTATTTAAATTACTTTTTTTTTCAGGTTCATCAAAATATTTAACTAATTGATTAATTGATCGACCTAACAATTCATAAATATCACCAGCTTGTTGATTTGATTGATTTTCTAAATCATAAACAGAATCAAATTATACATGATCGATCAGAAGAGGAAAAAAAATTATTGTTAGATCAATAGCAGTGGTAGTGCTGAGATGTCAAAGAAAAAAAAGTACAAAAAAAAGAAAAAATCATTATTTCATGCAAATCTTACGACGATAAAATTTTTCCGTGAGCCAACTGAAGACAAAATCTGTAGGGGACGTTCATATGACATTAATAATGTCATGAATTAAAATAGAATTACGGAGAAAATATCTTACTTTGATCATTGACACGTCGTAAACTAGGTGATCGTGATCGTACAGAAGATGATAAATTTGCTTGAGATCCACCACTTATGAAACTTGTTGTCATTAATTGAGATGGTGAACCAGAATCGAATAAACTATTAGTATTATTATCATTCATTTCACATGAATATGTCGAATCAATAAAAAGAAGTCGCTCTAAACTATCATCATCAATACTTTTACCTAACCATTGTCCACATGGAAATCTATTTTTTGAAATGAAAATTAAAAAAACAATAATTAAAAAAGATTAAAAGTAACAAACCGATAAACATTGTTTGTTAATTGATTTCGAACAACAATATGATCAATATTCCATCGAGGCATTAAACCAGTATTATCATGACCTATTCGAAGTGTTGTTAATTGACCCAAATTTTTGTGCTAAACAAAACAAAAAAATAAAAATCATCATGAACTTTTGTTTTTCATTCTATTTCATATAAAATCCAGATTTTACTTTGAATTTAATTTCAAGTGTTTTTTTTTGATGGTAATGGTATAACTTTTGTTGATCCCAAAATACCAGCTAACGCAATATATGGATTAGCAGTTGTTGTACTAGAAATTCTTGTTGCTCGTGCTCTGGTAGGAACAATAATAACATGATAAATAATATCAATATCTGAATAAGAATTTGAAAAACATTTATAATCAAGTAATTGAAGCGATTCAATATGAGCTAAAAATTGTTTTCTTAAATCTCCATCATCGGTTACGTAAAAAAGCTTCACGTTTATATAAAGCTTGTAAAAGATCACTATAAGAAAATAATTCAGATAAAAGACGACGTTCAAGTGTCAAACGAACAAATGCACGAGCAAAACCAATTTCAGATGCTGAAACAGACACTGGATTATGTCGAAAACATAATTCAACAGAATGAAAATCATGTGCTAGAGATGTATTCGATTGATTAGTTATCATCATATTATCGGATGGAGCAAGATTGAATGCTGAAGTTGCCATTGCTAATAGAGGTGATGAACGTACTTGATGTAGGCTCATTTGAGGACGTGGAAGAGTATGAGAACCTAATAAATACACAGAAAAATAAAGTTAACAAAATAAAACAAGAAAGTATATTGCTTACGATGACCACTGGGAGATTGTGATCGACTAGCTGATGAACTACGATTTACTAATTGTTTTCTCATTAAACACCGAACAACAGCTAAATGAAAAATTCCATTTAAATTTTAAGAAAAAACAAATTTGTACCTGGATTTTCATCTTTATTCAGTGTTACTGGAAGACCAGCATGAGACATTTGTGTTGACTCATAATTTATAAGTTTAACATAATATTTAATATGATTTCATAAAGCAGATTTTCCATTTGATTTATGATGAAGACCATAAGACCAAGTACGTTCAAGTAAATCACCAAAACCTGCTATTAAAACATTTTCTTCTAAATTAACCATTGATGATGAATCTTCAATAATATCTTCCATTTTTTCAATAACCATTCGTTTTGTCTTAACAAATAACGAAAGAAAGAAAACTTTTTTACAAAATAAATTTTTATTATTTACTTTAGTAGTACATTCTTTAAGTAATTGTTGAAAAACAACATTATTTTCAAGAAGAACAACAGTTTGTGGATGTTCATTAGAAGCAACTGTTTGTTGTTTTTTTATTCTTGTAATACGTCATCGTGGATGTTTTGTTTGAAATGATCGAGTTAAACGAGAATTTCTTTTTGAAATTCCACTAGATAAAAGATGAAGATATATCTATGGATGTTGTTGATTCAAGTACACTTCCCTTAAGATTTTCAAATAAATAAGAATTATTCGATGTAGAAAATGAATTATCAAGTGGACGAACTAATGGTGCATTCATTACAATTAATGAACAATATTGATAAGTTAAATCACGACAATCACGATATAAACGAATATGATCAGAAAAATACTTTGAATACAAAAAATAAAAATAAATTCATATGAAAGAATTTAATTAAAAAAAAAAATTTTTTTTACTTGTAAATGTTTATTAGTTAAAGCAAAAAGATGATTATCTTCATTAAATTTTGATGCAATTTTACTATCAACAAATGAAACAAATGATTATGTTTCCATAAATGCAAGTAAAAAAGGCACATGTGGTTTTGGTTAATCAGCAATAAACATAGTTCGATCAAAATTTTTTGTTGTACTTCGTTGTGCTAACCATTGATCAACATTAGAATATTTGTCCACTGGTGGATAACATATAAATGCATCCATTTGACTAAATAATTGGGCAAAACGATTTATAAATGATGCACGTAAACAATTATTCGCTGATATTCGACGTAATTCAGATTCATTAAATAAACATGATAGTCTACTATTACTATTTTCATCATCATTATTATTAATAACAATTCCAGCACGTTTAGCTATTGCTGCAAGTCTTGCTAATGCTTGACTTGGTTCATAATTTGATTCTTTTAATAAATTTTCACCATCAATATGTGTCCAATCTTCACTCTGTTGATATTTTTGTTTAGTTTTAAAAGATTTTTTTTGATAAATTACTATGAATATAATTATTAAATCGTAATAAAATATTATTTAATTCATTTATAAAACAAGTTCGATTTGGAAAACATGGCATATCATCAGGCAATTTAATATGTCCGGTATCAATATGAACAACACATCGTTGAACTTCAAATGTTAATTCATCGCTTGTATCACTATTTCTATCATCATCATCACCATCTTTACTATCAGAATTTACATTTGATTTATTTATGTAAAGACCCATAATAGCAGGTACAGGTACATCAAGACATACAAATGCAGCAGTAAATACAATTGAAACATAAAGTAGTGTCCATTGAAATGGATATTACAGTGATGTTAAACATTCAGCAACAAGCATTAAACGTGTATAATCT